CATATGAGCAAAATGTGTGACAGCTCTCACCCTCAGCTGTTAACATTAACGTTGATCAATAACATTTATAGATCTCAATTAGTGCTTCTAAATTTAGCCCATAAATTTAACAAGTGCTAATCCAGTAATTTTAAAATTAGCAAAAGCCCTAAATCACTAATCAGGAGATTTGTTCCCCTATTAGTGCTTTAGTGCTTTAAGGGGACTGTGCCCACCACTGGTCATTAATGCCTACTTTTCACTGATGATGCTGCCCACAGAGTGGGGACACAAGTTGTTAAATCACCTACCCAGAACTGAGTGGAGCCACACTTAACAGTGGAAAAACACCTTATGTGGCCAAAGGCAGCCCTGCAGAGACAGAACACATCAGCACATTTATCCTTCTTATGTTTCCCATTACAAGTACAATGGTCCTGACAGACAGAAATCAGTGAAAAATAGAAAAACAGTAAGTGTGCCACCTAACACTGCAGCAGTTTTATCACTTTGTACTGTTTAACATGAAGATGCAAAGCGTTGAGTTTTTACTTGTGGTGTACATGAGTCCACTGCACTGTCTGATTGATTTGAACTGAATCAGCTTTATTGTCTTTCACACACAACATAAAGATGCAATGCAGAACGAAATTGCAGTTAAGAACACCCCTTCGAAGAAAGGCACTCATAACTAACATTGTAGAACGGATGGCCAGGTCTTGCGCAACACGGTTGCGCTACTTTTTACAGCTTGGAAAGTAAAACACACAATGGGATAAATGAGTTTAAAAAGTTGCTCTGATAAACACAGAATCATATGCACAAAAAGCAACTCACAAGAGCAAACAGTTGAGGAGGGGAGGGGGCTGGGGATCAAACACATGGTACAGGGTGGGATGCAGTGGAGCTGGTGACGTTTCAGGCTAATACTCCATGCTGGAACCAATCAAAGAACCCCAGAGTCCAAAACCAGTTCTTATCAACCCAAGTTCAGTTCACCAGAGTTTAGTTCTCTGTCACCACCGCGGTCTTCGGACTGGTCCACCCATGGATGACATGGGAGAGGTAATGGGTGAATCGAGCCTTTGTTCACGTGTCATCCAGGGAAATTTTTATCACTGCTGACCGCCCAAGGACAGCAGCTGCAGGGATCCGAAAGATAAACTTAATTGTTTTGGTACAAGCAGGTTGAATTTCTTGCTGCTTTAAAGTCTGTTCCCAACCTTTTTAGACTTGTGTACCCCTGAGCCATTTTGTCATACCACTAGTACCCCTTCAGTCAAACGTAACGATGATTCTCCAAAACTATAATGTACTACAACTGATTATTAAATGAAAATTATTTATTTAACACCCTAGAATGTTTAATTCTCAAGCATTTTATTTTTTTCNCCCTAGAATGTTTAATTCTCAAGCATTTTATTTTTTTCAACTCAAATTAAACATAAATAAAAAGTGAATAAGTAATTAAATAAATAAACCAGGTAATGGCAGATGCAGAAAACAGGAATGTCCAAAATACATTGTATTGTCCAAAATATGCCAGAAACTCATTCTGTGTTAACTCTGTGGTTCCGACTGCAGTTTCTGCATTGCGGAAATCTTAGGGCCCTACATATCTCAGTCCTATTTTTTTCACACCTGGTAATTTTTTCCATGTACCCCCTCTAATATGCTCACGTACCCCTGGTTGGGAATTACTGCTTTAGACAGTGTGCTGATGGAACTTTCCAAGGTCCTGGAAGCAATGGCATGCTTCAGGACTTTAGACAGTATGATGGGCTGAAGGAACTGTCCACGGTCCTGAAAGTACTGAAATGTTTCAGGACCTTGGACAGTGTGAAGGGCTGAAGGAACTGTTCAAGGTCCTGAAAGTGCTGAAATGTTTCAAGACTTTAAACAGTGTGCTGAAGGAACTTTCCGTGGTCCTGAAAGCACTGGAATGCTTCAGGACCTTAGACAGTATGACCGGCTGAAGGAACTGTCCAAGGTCCTGAAAGTGCTGAAATGTTTCAGGACCTTGGGCAGTGTGAAGGGCTGAAGGAACTGTCCAAGGTCCTGAAAGTGCTGAAATGTTTCAGGACCTTGGGCAGTGTGAAGGGCTGAAGGAACTGTCCAAGGTCCTGAAAGTGCTTAATTGTTTCAGGACTTTAGACATTGTGAAGGGATGACGGAACTGTCCAAGGCCATGAAAGGGCCTGAATTTTTCAGAATCTTGGACAGTGTGAAGGCTGAAGGAACTGTCCAAGGTCCTGAAAGTGCAAGAATGTTTCAGAATCTTGAACAGTGTGAAGTGCTGAAGGAACTGTCCAAGGTCCTGAAAGTGCTGGAATGTTTCAGGACTTTAGAGCAACCCTAACATGGATATAAAAGCACAGGAGCTGCAATGCAAGCATGCACCATTTTAACCAATAGGAAAATTCAACTACAGTAGCCCCTGTTCATCTCATAGAGGGAAGCACTAAGATATTGCAGATTTTAAAAGACATTACACAAAAAATGTTAAAATTTGCACAAATACTGAAAGTTATTATACCTACACACAATTTAATCAGCAAAAAAAAATAAAAAAATGAAGAAAAAAATTCAATAACAAATCTTTGAAGGCACGTAAGAAAAAATAAATAACTTTTGGATGTAAAAACTTAACGTTTCTTAACATTTATTAATGTTACCATCATGGTCTGTCCTGTGCAGAATGATAAGATGCAAAATTATTTCTTTACTATAACCTCTGTAACTTCCAGTTAATTTTAGCAGCATGAATCTTTGCACAGGTAATGTCCACAAGTGGATTAATGGTTTTCAAGAGTTTTTAGCCTTCTTCATTATGGTTTTAAATAGGTTATATATTGTCAAAAAAAATCAGGTGAGAGTGGAAAAAAATTATGTTCCATCCCCAATATCTCTAAAACCACATCAGCTGTTTTTATACTTACACTTCTGATGAAATCTCACAAGTGTTAGCTTTATTTGGATACTAAGATTATTTAAGTAGAGTTTGTAAATGCTCACTCAGTTACATTTCGGCACGGCATTTTGAGAAAAAGCTTCAAGAAAACCCCTTGGGGCTTAAGAGATTCCTCACAGGTACCTACCTGACCCTAAAACTAACCTAAACTCATTCAAACCCTGGTCCTAAACCTAATCCCACCACCCAAAATCAGCCTCCGAAGTTGTGGGGACTGGGCTTTGGTCCCCACAAGGAGCATCCGGTCCCCACGAGGCTGCATTATCTGGAAAAGTCGTCCCCACCAAGTAACAAAAACAAGGGCACACACACAGATACTATGTCTCTATATTCTTGTGGGGATTTTCCATTGACTTCCATTCATTTTTTTTAATTTAATGTCCAAACCCTGACCATTTACCCTAAGACTTACCTCACTATACCAAACTGACCCTAAAACTAACCTAAACTCAATTCACACCTTGGTCCTAAACCCAACCCCCCACCCAAAACCAGCCTCCGAAGTTGTGGGGGCTGGGCTTTGGTCCCCACAAGGAGCATCTGATCCCCACAAGGCTGCATTTTCATGAGAAATTGTCCCCACCAAGTAGCAAGAACAAGGCCACACACACACACACACACACACACACACACACACACACACACACNTTATATAATTGAGCAAATTTATTTTCAACATTCCAATTTGCACATTTTCATGGTCAAAGGAAACGCAGCTACAGACTGCTCATAGGTACGCCACACAACGACACTTCGATCCACTCACTGTGGCCTGAATTTTGTTGCTGTTTGTGTTTGTTAGCGCGGTGTGCTGTGACAACTCTGTTGAAAGTTATTTCATTCTCTTGACAGCTGCTCAGATCAAGACCATGGTTAGCCAGCTGGGAACCAGCCAGGACACCAGTGAACTTCAAGATCGTCTGTATGTTGAATCGTTCATTCTTCCAGCCGACACAGACAGACAGAGCTGCTGTTGACTAGTTATCTTAGTTCGACAGTTGCAGGAAAGCCAGGGCTAATTTACTCAAATGTTATTGTTAAACTGAATAAAGATGTTTTGTAAACATTATGTCTTTTGCATGTGGATTTTTCTAATTTGTGTTCTTGTTTCTCTATTTGGTACTTTCAGGCAGCAGATACAGCACTATACTAATCAACTTGCAAAAGAAACCAACAAGCACCTGAAGGAGCTGGGCTCAATCCCTTTGCCTTCATCCCCCTCAGAGCAGGTAAGTGTCAGAGTTTATTACTAAAAACACCTGTGTAGCACCTTAAACCTGTTTTTATAGTCTATATCAGCACTGAAAGACAGCAGCATGTTTTGAAAAGTTAAATTTTGCACTTTTACATTTCAATAAAAGTTGCTTTGAAAATATTCATACATCATCGTATACATCAGAGTTAAGAAACAAAGAAGTAGCAATGTTGCATTAGTGGTTAATAAAACACCTCTTTGTTTTTGACACAGTAACACATTTAAAAAAAGGGAGGAGATGATAAATGTTTAGTCACTGATCTCAAAAGCAAGTTAGTTTTTGCAGGGTGGAAGGGAGCCTGGAGAGGTGATGATATGAAATGAAAGTCAATAAGTACGACACAATTCACGTGTGTGACTGAGAGGGAGACGGGTGGAGGAGTGGAGGTATTTGATGAGTTCAGGAACCTATCAACAATCCAAAGCAAACAGGCACGAGAGAGGTGAAGAAGAGAGGAGGCAGAGGATGAGATGAGTGTGAGAACCACAGAGAAGGTTCATGGATGGAATGAAGGAGGATATGAGGAGGGCTGGTATGACAGAGGAGGATGCTGGGAAATGTTGGGATGTAGGCAGATAATCTTCTGTGAAGAAAAGGACAAATGTTTTGACTTNCACACACACACACACACACACACACACACACACAATACTATTATTTTTGTAGTCATTCTTTACATTAATATTATTATTTATATTAATTTAACAGTTTACAGGTCTCGCTTGTAAATTAGTCTCAATGAGATAATCTAAACAAAATTAAATTCAAAATAATAGCTCAATCTTGTTTTAAGACGATACTTGTTGAAATCTCTTTTTTTTTTTTACAAATTTATTAAGATCAACAATCCACAGTCTCAACAAAACAGCAAGATAAAAACAGTCATACCTCTAAACTATTACAATTAGTTCTGCATATTTACTGAAACAAATACATTACTGTTTCAAATAAGAAAAAACAATAAAAACAAAACCGTAAACAGGGGGGGGGGGGTAATTAATCAATGAACTGAATCGACAGAGGGCAACATTTCCGCCGCTGCTTTGTTGCTCTTCTTTACCCGCTCGTCATCATGTCCACCCGTCTCATTGTCCGGCTGGTTGAAAAGGAACTGACCCTGTCAGTGACGTTTCCTCAAATGTCACCGACCAGGGTGTGTTTGCCAAATATTAATGGTGGATGTAATAAGAATGGGCGGGACATTTATTCTGATTGGTTGTTATGTTTGGGCCGCGTTAGTGGATTGGTTGTTAGGTTGAGCAGCACTGTAGTCTTAGCTAACACAATGTAGCATCCACCCCGACTGCTGGACGAAACTTGTCTACCCCTATGTGTTCATGTCTACAGATTAAAAGATAAGCAAGTATTACAAGCAAGTAAACTATTTATTTATGTTGTGTTTAAGTATTATTTTTGATACGCGTCCTTCATGTGTTTAATGTATAGCCAGCCTTTGAAAAGACGAGTGTTGATGTTAGCATTAGCGGTGTAGCTAAAAACGGAGCATTAGCTGTGCTTAGTCAGTGTCATATAAATTTGTGTGCTGAAAACCAGCCGAGCTAAATGGCCTATTATTAAGGCTCCTAATGTTGTATATCTATTTATTTTTTACTGCCATGATAGTTTTATTAGTCATTCGTCAAAGTTTGACCAAGGAACAATCTTTAACATTATGTGTTTACAAAACTAGTGTTTAGACTTCAGAAGAAATGTGTTAATCTTAATAGCTGTTTATATAGAACCAATAAATCAAGCCTCCCGGAGCTTAAACGTAACTATACCTCAGATTACAACCAGTCTTACATAAACTTTTTATCTGTATCAGAGTAGCACTGATTATCAGTAGCAGATACGATTGTTGACACAGCTAGGTTTGTTTATTTGTGTAGTTTAATCGATGTTTTTTGTTTGTTTTGTTTGTATAGTTACAGCTGAACTTGCCAGGAAGCAGCAGACTATCTCAAACATGTCTTATGGCAAAGCAGAGTTCCGCCCTGTCCCGAGGGACTTCAGCTCTCTCATCCAGACATGCACCTCCAACATCCAAAGGATCACACAGAACAGTAAGTGTTTCACTGTTTTCGGTTTTTTTTTTCTGCTTTGTGATGCAGCCAAATCCCTCATGTTACTCATGTGCTCAGCTACTGATCATGTGACGGTGCTGGATAGAGTTACTATCCTCACTGTGCTGTTTATTTACCCAGAATATCACAGTTTTCAAAGTGTTTAATAATAGTTTGTAGCAGCTACATTAATACAACTTCAAAGTTCAGCTCACAAAGGAAATAAAATTAGTTCATGTGCACCATATAACTAAATCAACCCAGTTACTCAGTTTGTACACTCACCGGCCACTTTATTAGGTACACCACGCTAGTAACGGGTTGGACCCCCTTTTGCCTTCAGAACTGCCTCAATTCTTCGT